TACAGCAGACATGGATGGAGGGCACCTGGCTAAATAAGGCACCAACTGACATGAGAAAATGTACAGGGTGTCTCGCTTACTTCTGGGCTTCAAAAAACTTAATTTGAAGGGATAGTATAATTCACTATGCTATCAAAGGAATTTTTTAAAGATGCTTTGAGTTAGGAAAAATAATTAATCAAACTTTATGCTAACTATTGGGAAGTATAATTGAAATTATGCCTGTTATAAAAATTTCATTACTACATCTGCATTCCAGATTGATTTATTCTCTTGGTGATGGCATAATTTTGAAATTTAAGAGGCATTTTCCAGAGGAGTTTCCTGATGCATTCCAAAAATTGATGATCTGTTCCTGTTTGGACTGGTTGGACTATGTAGACATTTCTACATTGTTTTCTTCTTCAGTCATGCTTCTGATGGGCTATTGTTGGTACCTTTCAAACACACCTTTATTAACCATATTCGAGAGGTACATATGCAGCTCATATAAACTTAGGCTCTATCAGTATGACAATATTTCAAAAACAGGTACTTCTCTGAAAACCTTTTCTGTACTTCAGTTTTCAGAAATTTGTTGTCTTGATGTGGTTATGAGCTACAGCACAAGAATGGTCTCCAGTACATTATCCACACATTTCATTATCTAGCTTTATTAACATATAAATAACACAATGTCTTTTGGTATCATGTGGCAATTGTTTGCTTGTTGTTTTGTTGGGGTGTTTTAGTAAGGGCCATGTACCTGTCCTCAAGTATATTCTCCTGTGACTTTAAATATACCTGACATTTAACTTGACTTTTATCTTGCTCTTTTCAGTTTGCCTCTTGTTCCCATTGGGGTATCCCATATCTTCACACAGCACACATGGAGCTCCTTGTCACAACATGCTGTGAATGCTGAAAGTTTATAGAATTCAAAAACTGACTGCAAAAATTAGTAGGTGAAAAGTGTACTGAAGGCAATTAAAGAATCTAAACCTGCTTTTGACAAACATATATCTCAAATGAATGTGCCATTCACTTATTTCCTATGCCTCTGAACAATGCTGTAAATAGCTTTACCTTTTCAAGTCCCTTTTAAAGAAGTCAGGCAGTCTTTTAAATCTTGTGCTAATAAACACACCCTGGATTCTGACTGGCACCAGGAAGCAGATTTTTTGAAGAAAATTGCCAGAAATTGTTTTTAATGGCTATATTTTAGTTAAATATTCAGCGGCCATTTATCTCAGCTTCAGGGCTATTTTGTTGTTCCTTTCACTTCCTGCATGATTCCCTTATACTGCACAGCTGAACTAATGCAATGTACTTCTCAAGGGACTGTACCAGTAAATACTATTTATATGTGTGTGTGTGTATATATATATGTGTGTGTGTGTGCGTATATATATACATATATGTATATTTATATATATATATGTATGTATATGTATATATATGTATATTTATATAATATTTATATTTATATTTAGACTGTGTCAATAAATACTATTTATATGAACTAAAGAAATTTATTTGCCTTGCTGTCATGACCCTGTGTGACTGGGCAAGTCAGCTTATTAAACATCCTGAATTTTGCCTCAGCAATGACTGGCTTATCTTTCTGCTGGGCATTCCAATAATGAAAGGAGGAGACAGTTCCCAGACTTTTTGAGGAATAGTAGTAGTCCAAGTACTGTGGTGAGGAGTTAAGTGCCATCTAAGTGCCATTGGGGCCATCTAAGCTGCTTCACTCTGGTAGTCTCTGTGACTGATTTCTGAGCCTGTACCAGACCCTTTACAGAGAAACAGTGTAAATTACAGTAGCACTGAGGAGATGAAGTAAGTAGCTGGACAGTCATACCTGTCAATGGTCCTGGAAGACAGAAGGTGCAGATGCGCTGTCTGATATTGTTCAGTATGGTCACTGATGGCCTTGAATATAAAGTACATTAAATTTGCAGAGGATATAGAGTTGGGAGAAACTGTTGAGTATTTTAGAGAAATTATGCTGGTAGACAGACTTACAATTCAAAATTATTTTGAAAAATAATTGTTTTAATTGTGGAGTGACTTGCACTAGAGCTATTCAAGAACTGTTTGGACACAATCCTGTGCAACGCAGTCTAAAATGATCCTACTTGAGCAGGGAGGTTGGACCAGGCGATCCACTGTGGTCCCTTCCAACCTGTGATTCTGTGAATATTGCCCAGTCATTTTGCATCACCCTTAAAGAAAGATGTGGCCCACAAAGAGTGTGATGACACAGAGCTGGAGGGAAGCAAAGGGCATGTCTGTTAGCCTAGAAAACATGACCTGAAAAGAAAGATCAAACAGATTGATCATGTTCAAAATAAAGAGGAAAATACTTCAGGAACACACAGAATCGAAACTTCACGAGTGACCAATCTCATTTCCAAAGAATGCACTACCATAGTGGTGACTGTAGGAAAAAAGGCAAAAATCCTTCAAACCTGCAGTGTGCCACAGTAAAGCAGGAGAAATCATCAAGGACATGATGGAGGCCTTCAGGCTTAGTGCTAACCAGGCACTTTTTGGGTGAGAATGCCAACATTTTCTTGACAAACATGCCACAAACACACATACCCCATACCTGATGGTGACCCACACTTGCAGCTGTCCTCTCCATGTTAAGAGTTTTCCTCTAAGGACCCTATTAATGCACAGACATCCAGAGAGATTTGCTTCACTGCAATGCTTTTGCCAGAGAAATCACCTTATCCAACCTCTTGGTAGTCTGACATGATCTCACTTTGATGAAGCATAATGTTGCTGAATGCATTTTTCACTTACCTTTAAGAATTTTCTCAGTCAAATTAACAGGGCATGGAGTTGCTGTTCCTCTCCCTCCCTCTGCCTTTTTAGAAGACAGGTTTCCTATTCTCCAGCAGTCTCCAATAACAGTGCTTCAACCCCAACTTTACTGATTTATCAAAAGTGTTGCTCAGGTTTTTACAAGACAGACACCAATTTTTTCAACATTTGGGGTGTGATTTTCCAGGACCTGTCACAAGAAACAGCCTAACTTATGCTAATATGATCTTTTACATTATCTAGCTTACTTTATGCTCTCTGTAAATACTCTCTCACCTTAATTTTTTCTTTTAATTGAAAACTGAGGCAATATTTGGAACAGCCTTAATCTCATCCCTGGCATTTAACCACCACATATCTTGCTTCTTTGAATAATTTCTATTTATGTAGATGAAGAATTCTTTGCTATATGTTAATCCTTTTCTTTGCAATACCTGGTTCAGCTAGATTTTTATCCATTTTTTTTCTCTGATCCCGCATTTTCCAACTCAGCAAAATGTACTTCTCCTGTTTCCTGTTGGTCCATTCATTTTCAGGTAGTTACTTATCCACTAGCTCCACAATTATTCTTGATTTATTCCAACCTCTTTTATGGGATGTAAGTGCTATACATGATTTTACATTTTGGATTTAAAGTAAGGCCATGATTCTTCCATGCTCAAATGCTAGGTCCATGCAGCCTCATCAATCATTTTTCATAGTTTCTTAGTGTTTTCCCTCTGATATCCAGGACTGTAGCATATTCTTGTAGATCTATTCTTGGTTCTTGAGAAATTTGCAGTAAATAATATTAGTCATTCATCAAAGATATATTTTATGATCAAATTAGTTTTTAAAGGATTTATAATATCCTTATATTTTACTGAAAAGAATTATAGAACAGCTTCCCTTTAGGCTGTTGAGTCTGAACAGTGACTGCTGGTAAACAAAAGGTTTATTGCCCATCAGACATGATAATAAATGCTGTGTATGGTCTTTGTTTTGCGTCTGTCTAGGGAATTGCAGTCTTCCCCAACCTTGCTGTTATTTACAGTTGATGAAAACTTCTACTCATAGCCATCCCCAAACCCAAGAGTCTTTACCAGATTTTGGGGCATTTGTATCACTCTTATCGACTACCACTTTCAAACGAATTTGTTATTTGTACCATCACCATCTCTGTTTTCTCAATTATTACTTAATTAATTTCTATTAAAAACTAGTAATTAATAGTACAAATACTACCTCCACCCTATTTTTTTCTCCTTTCTTCTACCTCTTCAGGTTAGAGGAGACAAAGAGAAAAAATTGGACTTGTGTTTGGCCGTAGCTCCTGGCTTACTTATCTTTATACACTACAGGGGTAGTACCTGAGAAAGCTGTCTCCTTTCATCTAACCATTTCCTGGAGAAATCTGCCAAAGACTGAAGACTGTATATACATATACATTTAGAGGTTGGAACAGAAGAAAAACAAGAATGTTAAGTAGACTTGTGCTTTTTGCAAGTGGGAGAACACAACATAAGCAAAGCACTTGGCAGCCTATCAAAAACATTTTTCACAAAAAAAAGAATTATTATGTTCTCTGCTATAGGGAAATCAGACAAAAGGAATAGCGGACACCAAAACAGCACAGTGCCTTTGGCTATTTCCTCTCAGTTGTTGCTAGACTGTTGCAGGCAGACTTCACACAACCCTGCAGTAAGCAGCACTAGAAGCAACAGCTGGCAGTTCCTGGGAAGCAGTAGGACAAGAGTCAGAATAAAAACTGAGACAGTGAGTTTGAGAAATTGATAGACACCATGTGAGAAAAAGAACAGCCCTGTTCTCTTGACTATTGACATCTCTTGACTATTGACATGTCCTATCTTAGCCTACACCTTCCTTAACCTATGTCTCTGAGATGCCAACTTTAGTAATTTACTTCGTATTTCTGATTACCGTTGCATTTTATTTCTGATTTTTTGTATATAAATATATATTTTCAAGTGAAGAAGAAAGCTGAAAGGAAAGTTTGGACAATTCTGATCTCCACCAGGTGTCAAATTGGCCAAGAAGAAATCCAGGAGTGACGCCAAGGCTGAGACACGGGTAGGACGTATAACGAATGAAGCAGCTGACGGCTGGTCCGTGGCTCCCCAGGGCCGGCCCCGGGGGCTGCGGCGAGCGGGGCCGCTCGGGCTGTGCGGGGGTTCCCCCGCGGCGGGGGCAGCGCCGCTCGCCCCGAGCGGGGCCGGGCGGGGAGCCCCGGGAGATGATGGCCCCGCAGCCCGCCGCCGGCGTGTCGGGCCCGCTGGCCGTGCTGGACCCCACAGGTGAGCCCGGCGCCTGCCCCGCCGGCTGCGTGCGCCCCGGGACGCGGCGGGGCTGGACGGCCGGGCTGCCCCGGCGCTTCAGTCGGCGGGACGGGACGGGACGGGACGGGACGGGACGGGACGGGACGGGACGGGACGGGAGGGCGAGGGCTGGGACTGTGCCCCGGCTGTGCCCCGCAGAGCGGCAGTGCAGCGGGGGCTCAGCCCGGGATCGCCGCCGCTCATCCGCTCGCTCGCCGAGGTGTTTAAAAACACCGGCTCTTCTTCAGAGCTTTCAGCTGCGCTGGGCGAATCCCTCTGCTGGAGGTTTAACATTCGGAGGAATAGCTTGGTGCGGGACGCGGAAGGTTAATGTAGGAGCCATCGCGCCGGAGCAGGCGGCGGTGCCCGCGGGTGCGGGGCGGGCTGGGGACAGGGCTTGGGCTCGTTCCCGTCCTCAGGGTTCTCCTCATTGTATGGCTTGTGTTTACAGCGTACGTCCTGAAATACAAACACCTAGGCAAAAGAAAGGTCAAGTATTTCCTTATTCCAGAAGAATTTGTTAAAGTTTAGAAAATACAGAACTTACTGTTGGCAATTACGCTGTGTAGCGTTTGGAAGGATAAGCAGAGACTTTGCTATGCACTCAAGGATCACAACAGCTGTGTGAAAAATGTACCAGATCTTATTTTTGTCTTAAACTTGGAAGAAAAATTATGTTGGTGTTGAAAATGTGGCCGTGGAAGATGTGCTGTAACTTAAAAACATTTTCAGGTAGTCATTGGAAAAGAAGAATCTCTATGCCAGCTTTAAACTAGTGATTAGCTGCTTGTTAAATTATTTATTGGTGAAACAATTGCTGCCAAAACAATGAGGTCATTGTGATACTGCATGGTATGGCTTACTATAGCCCTGCTACATAGTATATCAGGGCTTGTGGGATTGCTTTTTCATTTTATTCAGTATGGATATTTTGTAGTAGAATTGTAAACTGTTTCCCGTGGTCTTGAAGATATAATGCACTTGTAGGAGCTTACTCAACAAATTAATAAAAAAGGTAAGAGATGGGCCTGATAAAAGCTGCTGTCTTGTGGCTTGAAATGAATGCTGTTGCATCTGGTTTAATTAGTTCAGCACTCTGGACAAGTCAAGCATTTAATCAGAAAAGGGAAAGCAATCACCAACAGCAGGTGTGAGCATCTCTTTTAAGCATCTCAATCCGTCACGTTTAATTTTCAGAGGCAATATAGGATTAATTCAATTTCACTGGCATGAAACAATTTTTAAAATACACAAAACTGTAGTTGAGAGAGATATGGCACTGAAGTGAGTGTTGCAGCAATTAAAAATTTATAATCTAGCTCCAAAAGTCTCCTAAAAATTTTCTCAGTAGCAGCAAAACAGCAGATACATTTGGTACTAAGATTTGTCTGTGGTGAATTTCCACTTAAATTATCTTTTTCTGTGCGCTTAATGCCACTCTCGGAAACATGTCACAATTTTAGTAGTATCCATTACATAACAAAAATGCACTTCTTTTTTCCTATTACAAAAGTTTCCTTCTTTTTCTCATAGTAAGATGCAAATAAACATCGGGCTGGGGCATTACTTGCAAAAAGTGTTTCCATTTTGATTACCATAACTAGACCAAAGAAGAAGGTATGGAATTATGTAGTGCTAATATTCAGCAAATGTGATTATAAGCCCAGCTAACCGCTACATCCTACAGTGACTTTTTTCCTCACCAAAAATTATGCCACACTTTTTAACTTTATGATGTCTGAAGATAAATTTTAAAAGAAGTAGTGAAGTTAGCAAAGTATCATTTCTTTGGTCTAAATGTAGACTTTTTTAGTTCAGTTGCAGATCGTATGGAGGTTTTTCAAGGTGGAGAGATGCTGTTTCATTCTATTCTTTCCTTCCCTTGGGCCCTGGACACATTCTGTGCCACAGACATGTTTCATCATTAATTAATTCATTCCCCTTCTAAACTTACTCTTTGCTTTGTTCAAATCCAGACCCTACTATTCATGATTAGACTCACCACTTTGCAATCTCATACATACCCTCCCCACAAAACCATTTATTTTTCCATAGTCTTCCTATAAATTGAATTTAATCCCCACCCATTGCAAACAGAGCATTGTAATACAATTTTGTTTTCTCAGCTGATGAACAGACAGAGTTTTTTTCTTTTGAGTGCAGCAGAGTGTGGTTTTCAGCAGGCACTTTTTCTTTCTGCTCTCTGAAGTGTGATCTCAATTTCCCTCCCCACAGGCCTTTCTCAGTCCCAAGGAGGCAGCAGTCTGGTGTCTCCCTTCCTTCCTGGTGGCATTTTCTCAAAAGTATCAAGCAGATACTTTTCCTGACAGATGTTTAGTGAGCAAAGCAGAGAGTGTTTCTGTGGCTGTTCCTTTTTGTTCGCAGTTTAGGTCTGCGCCAGGCAAAGCACAAGCCTGTCATGTGGAAGTTCTGTTACCTCTCTAATTTATCTGTAGTGCCTATTGCTGCAGTTAATACTGCAAAAAACTCAGTGCCCAAGGCTCAGTCAATACTTCACTGGCCAAAACTGCTGAAGAATATTGCCAATAGATGTTAATAACATATTCACACCCGCTACTGACCCCATGCTAATGCTAATAAGGATAGGAGAAGGTTTCTTCCTACAAGCTTGGTTTTTGGTATGAAATATAAGAATTTAAAATTATAATTAAATTGCATTAAAGTCCTGACTAGGAGTTTAATAATATTCATACCAAATCGTTGCTGAAGAAGTTGAAGGTAATAAATGTCAAAATTATTCTGAGACTTACTTCAGTACTAAAAAAATTGGAAAGCGAATAGCCTCCATTAAGCATTTCCTGCACTCCAGGAACATTGGTGTTGGAAGAAAATTCAGGCTACAAATAATTGACTGCAATGTTTCCTCTGCTCTTAATTTAACTGCTGTTCTTGTGTAAGGCCAGCCTTCAGTCCAAGCCTTGCCACAGAGTGTCAGGGAAGAAAGCTGGGCCAGGCACACAGGCTGAGCTGGAGACAGGGCTTCTGAGTCTGGCATGGGGTTTTGGCTGGCAGGTACGTGAAAAACAGACCCAAATAAACTGCATGGCAACTGCCACAAACAGCACTAAACAAAGGCTTGAAAAATGGTGGGACGCAACATGACTGAAATTGCAAAAGGAAGCCTTTTAATTGTGGGAACCCTTTGCAGCAGTAACTTCTGAAAATATTAAGCTGCTTTGCTATAGGCCTCCCAGTATGCTGGTGGTTTATATGCGTATAATTATACATACTTTGCTAGAGCAAAGATTTTTATTGTTGTGACTAAGGAAAACCAAACAGCCATGATAAAAACAAATTTAGGCTGATTTCTATCCATCTTCTCTGAGCATGTGGAAGTCTTTGAGAATAAGTCCTTGCATGTGCCAGCCTCTTCTCCTGAAAGGGCCTTTCTGTGCTCCTGCACATAAGTCATGTCTCCTAAGGGTGGAGTTCATAGCTGGCAGCATGGTTATTTGTCAGAGTTTCCTAGACTATGAAAAAGGGGACGTACAATTGGATATTTCCCTCTATTTTGAGCTGCCGGTGGTAAAAGATGAATAAATATGAGGGTTGAAGAGTATTGCATTCATAAATTTATTCTAGCATGTGTAAATTTCAATGTCAAAATGTAGTTCATAACAAAAAATGTCCCTACAAATAATGACATCTTTTGCTGTTCTGTCTTACTAAATCCACATCAGATTTATTCCAATTACAAATAAGAGCATGCTTTTCCTAAGACATTTTTCAGCAACTCAGTCAGGGCAATCATATTTATGCCATTCCTTATTTATAATCAGAACTCAGGAGGGAGGGTTGGAACCATAGTTTATTTCCATCCAGTCTTGTCAACCTTTGCCAGTACAGGTGCTACTCTGAGGAAGTTGTGGAGGCTTGGCTCCTCAGGCACTTTTCAGTGGTTTCAAGAAGTCTTGGCTGGGAAGCATGTGCCCCACTGGCTTTGGGAAGGTTTGTGTTCCTGTGTCCCTTTAGAGTATGTCTACATTGCAGCTGCAGCTTCATGTCAGTGGGTATGAGCACACATACCCAACCCACTCTTAGTCTAGCTGTCTTGACTACCATGAAACCATAGAAGAATTCAGGTAGGAAGGTACCTCAGTTGCAATTCCAGCCTCCTGCTCAATGCTGGGTTAACTATGAAGTCAGACCAGGTTGCTTAGTGCTTTTTCTGCTTGAATCTTGAAAACCTCCAAAGTTGGAGTGGGCACAAGTTATTTGGGCAACCTGTTCCAGTGTTTGACTGTCCTAATGTTGATTTTTTTTTTTCCCTTCTTATACCCAGTCTGAAACACTTTTGTATTTCAGTTTGTCTGCTGTCTTTTTGCCTCCTGCTGTGCACGATTATGAAAAGCCTGAGTCTGTTCTCTTGACAACAACTCAAAGGAATTGGAAGACTGCAACTACCCCTGCCAAAAGTCATCTCATCTCCAGGCTGAGCAAGCCCCTTCTTTGCAGTCCTCTCTTGAATTCATTGCAGTTAATTTATGTATTTCCCTATACTGAGGGCCCAAAACCGAGTGCAATATTGTGTCATCTAAAAAGTGCTGAATAGATGGGTGTAGTTGCTCCTCTGATCCCCTAGTGATGCTCCTGTTAGTACAGCCCAGGATTCTGCTGCTAGGGCACACTGCTGGTTCATGATCAGCTCATCATCTACCAATTCCCCAGGTCCTTTCCAGCAGAGCTGCTTTGCAGCCTGGCAGTCCCTTACCTGCATCATTGCAATGTGTTGTTCCTTCCTTTGCTCACAACTTGGCATTATGTTAAAAACCTTGCTAGAATTAAGGCAAAAGACATCCAGTGCTCCTCAAGTCCGGTCTTTTTGCCATAGCCGGCACCTGGGCTGGTCAGACATGACTTGGCTCTGGTAAATCCATCCTGACTGTTGCCAGTCACCTTTTCCTTCTGTGCCCAGAAATGTCTTACAAGAAGACTTACTCCACCTTCTTTGTCCCAGCATCCCAGGAGCCGAGGTGAGGTTGGTTGGTTTATAATCCCCTGAATCTTCATTTTGGCCTTTTTAAAAACAGGTGCAGCATTTGTCTTTCTTCAGTTTTCGGGATTCTTTAATCTCCATGACTTTTCAAAGGTGATAAGGTATGGCAAGGGCATCAGATATTATTTACAATCTGGAAGATACATTGAATGAATCATTTTAATTTGTAGGGATGACAGATGACTTGGGGAGCTGTACATCTGAAATCCAGTTTTCCCTCTTGGCCCTGTGAACTGCCTTCTCTGAAAGAACCATCTTCACTCCACACACTTGGTGAAAAACTGGTTGCTAACAAAGAACCTCTCTGCTTCCATGTGCCCTCCTGGATTAACAGGGAATTGCCAGAGGAAGATGGCAGAGACACAGGCTGGAGGAGAGGTGTTTGGCGAGTCTTAGGAGTTATTTCTTTATCTTTAGCAGGAAAACTTTGTACATGCAGGTGAAAGAGACTTTTGTAAGATGGTATTTGCCTTTAGAAAAGTTGCTTGTATTTCATACTAAAAGACTGGAATAATTTTGACTGGTTGTTCTACTGGAGAAATGTCAGCAAACACAGTTTGTTATTATAAATTCATTTATTTAGTGATTGAAATTATTTGAGTTGGCTTGCAAACATCACTAATCTAGTCTGGATTTTGAACTATAAACATTTAACTGAGTTACGTGACTTTAAAATGGCCACAAAACTCAAGTGACTCATTGCAAATGGCTTCTGCTTTCTTTTTGTCTTTCCTTCATTTCCCCTGCTTTTGGTTCCAGCAGTGCCCCCAGAGCCTGACCCACGCAAGCCTGCCTTCCCCTCTCACCTCCTCCTTGCTGCTGAGGGCTGCTGCCTCCAGGCTTCAGTGCCACATCACACACTCTGCCTTCTCCCGAGGCTGGGCAGTCAGGCAGCTTCCTGAGGCCACGGAGGGAGAGAGACTGCCCCTGCTGTGGCCAGGTTTGCTTTCTCAGGAGCTCCATCCTGCCCAGGTGCAGTGTATGGTACCATGGCATCGCATGACCCACTGTTACAGGATGATCCTGCGCACTCCAAAGTGAGAACACCAAAAATGGGGACCACAGTTTGATTCACTTGGGTGTCTTTTGCTAGTTAGAGTCATGTATTAATGGCTTTTTTAGTCGTACATAAGTCTGTGCTATGGGCTGGGGCCCTGGTGTGAGTAACCTCTGGCTACAGCTCAGATCTGCCACTGGGTGACAAGGTTAAGTGCCTTGGAGCTGGCTGCAAGCTGGAGATGAGTGTGCTGGTTTTCACTTTGGGGTATCTGGACCCAAATCCTAGTGAGACTGAAAGAATTCCACTGAGCAGCCTCTGCTAGAAAAAGTTTATCTCACCTGATAAACTCTGTTACAGCTTTGCTTCAAGGATGCAGATTTCTTACCCCAGTAAACATGAAGAGCACATTCATTTTCATTTTAGCATGCAGACCGCCTGCTAATCTTGTTTAAAATATTCATTTTTATGTTCAGGCCAGGTAAGTCAAATTGGCACTTCACACAGGTAAGAATTTAAAGCCTGCAGGATCTCACTTACCAACGTGAACAACAATTAAAAATGTTACTGAAGATAAGGCATAATTATCATTGTCACTGACTTAGAGTTCAGTTTAATAAAAACTCATCTCATGCCTGTACCCAATGTGTGTGCATTAAGTGATACTCCAGCTAACTCTGCGGGTTTTAATTCCTTCTGTTGTCTGGCAGCAATTTTCCTTAGTGGGAGAACAACAGAGGGTTATCTACAGAGAAGATTAACAAAAGAAAATCTTTCATCATTTTGTATTTGTTCTGCCATGATTGCAATGAAAAGCTCTTTTTTTTTCCTCTCTCCCTACCTCACTCCCTACAGGACAGTTTGCAAAAAGGAAGAAGACTTCCCTTTGGTTCACAGTTGCACTGCTGGTGGTGTCTGTTTTCATACTCACCATAGGTCTGGCAGCTACCACGCGAACAGAAAATGTTACTGTGGGAGGCTACTACCCAGGCATTGTTGTAAGTAAAAAACCCCATTTTAGAATATTAGGTACATCCAAATAAATTATTATCAGCTGTAAATGGGAAGCTCTGATAGAATAAAGAATAAAACATTAGTACCATGTCATTTCACGGGAGAGAGATGCTGCTTTGTTTTGATCTACTTCCCGTGTGTTGTAAGGCAGGGGGTAAATTATTTTTCTGAAGTGCCCCAAAGGGAGGCTGTTAGGGAATGGAAGGAGTTCAAGGCTGCACTGCACTGTGCTGGGCTCAGGCAACTGTGTGAAAACCTGTACTAGACCCCCACAGGTCTCCATTGGAGGTGGGTGTCTGTGTGACTGGACAGTAGCATGGGATGGATTTGAACAACCTTTTAGAAGTTTACTGCTTTGATGGGAGGAAAAGCCACTCCGCTCTTGTGTCTGTGTGCCAGGAATTCTGCTGTGTCCATGGCAGGGAAAGCCCTGCAAAAGGACATGTGGAGACTTCTTCCTAACATCCTTTCTTGCAGGCTTTCTGCCAGTTCTCTTGTACAAGATCCTGTTTACAAAATCCTTAGTGTTGATTTTGCCTTGGGAACAGGCTGCTTAAAAGCCTTTCTGCAGTAGGCACAAGGTTCAAGTTCTGCCTGCTTTGCCCTGTGGTGCCTCTGTGGCTTCTGGGGAGGAGTAACCCTGCCAGCCCCTTGCTGGTTCAACCCCCAGGCCCTTTCTGACCTCAGGAGAAGGGATCAGTTATATCCCAAAGTGTGTAAATGTGTGGAGCAAAAAAAAAAAAAAAAAAAAAAAAGATATCAAATACAAGGAGTATGGGTAGCAAATAGAGAAGGGCTGAGTCAACCAAGGGGAGGTAGAGGCTGCAAGGTGAAGAAAGAAATTCACATATTTAGAGTTAGACACTACTCAGATGTGTCGCTCCACTACTGCCAAAATAAGATACTATAATTTCTTGCTCTCTATGGAATGAAATGCCCAGGGAAGAGGGATATGGATCTTCTGATTCTGTGCATACACCATTAATAATTTGTGAGTTAGAACTGTTCCTCCTAAACAATTCCTCTTACATCTTAGTGTTATGTTGAGAGCAGGACTTTCAGAAAGATAATTTTAGGATTATGATCTATAAGGAGTGGTGTTTTAAAAATAGAGCAAAAAGCAGTTCCAGGAATAAGACTTTAACAGAATGATTTTCTCTTTCATTAACCTCAAATAGATGGATTAATACTGATAAAGGTCTCTTCTTCCAAAATTTGACATAAAATCTTTTCTAAGACCACATTATCTGCATTCATCCCTAGACAAAAGTTTCATTTTTAAACTGCTGTTTTTAATAAGTATAATAAGTAATAAACCCATGGGTACAAAACAGGTTATTTAAGCATGTCATTTCTTGTAGGAATAATGGAATGTCTACTCATTCATCTGAAAAACATCACCTGCTAAAATATTTTTTGAAAATCTTGTTTTCATTAATAAACAGATAGAAAAGCAAGAATTTATTAGAATACTTTGAAAATGAAATGTTTTATTATAATTTTCCTTTGTAACTGCCAATGTAAATGTCATCAAGATATTAAATATCACAAACATTTAGGAAGAATTAAAAGTGCTATGCAAATCTTACATGGTATCTTGGCAAAAGCCTGGTCAGAGGTGTGTGACAGCACTGTTATGTTTCTGCCTCACTGCCAGAAGTGACTGACTCCAGTGCAGCATTGGCAGACTGACTGTCACAGAATCATAGAATGTTCTGGGATGGCAGGGACTTTAAAGGTTGTCTCAACTCCTCTGCCAGGGACAGGGCCATCTTCCACTAGACCAGGTTCTCAAAGTCCCATCCAACCTGGCCTTGTACACTTCCAGGGATGGGGCACTCACAGCTTCTGTGGGCATCCTATTCCTGTTCCACCTCCTTCACAGTAAGGAATTTCTTCCTACCATCTAATCTAAACCCGCCTTCTTTCAGTTTGAAGGCATTATCTCTTGTCTTATGTCTTTATATTTTCTTGGAAGGCACCTCTAGGAATTGGAAGGCAGTAATTGGGTCTCCTCAGAGCCTTCTCTTCTCCAGGCTGAACAACCCAAACTCTCTCATCCTGCCCTCATAAGAGAGGTGCTCCAGCCTCTGATTGTCTTTGTGGCCCTGCTCTATCCTCACTCCTACATGTCCATGTCCATGTCCTTGCTATGCTGGGAGCCCCACTGAAGGCAGCACTCCAGGTGGGATCCCAGCAGAGCAGAGGGGCAGAATCCCCTCTCACCATCACCTCCTTCAGAATGACCTGAACAGCCCTCAAAATGTGCTTCTCTTCTCTGCTGACAGCAGAGGGAGCTTAGAAAGCCAGCATAGCCCTGATCCCAGACTCAGATACCTAAACCAGGGGAGTGAATTTGTCACTACATATTTAACTGCTGGGCTCAGAGAAAAGCAAGAATATGAGGACAGACAGTGTTAATTTAAATTTAAAATAAGGTCTAGTTCTCATAGACTTCAGTAGTAAAATATTAATTTCACAGCTGGTAGATGAGATGAAACCTCCACTGACCTAAGGTAAGCAATTTTGGTCTTAAAAACCATGCAGAATTAATCCTGCCTTGAAGACACCTATGAAGATGAGTAACACTATCCACTGGCAGAGATTTACTTGTTTCTAGAAGTATTTACAGAACAGGTCTTTAGGGTTAGATCCATAGTATGCTTTGGCTTCTGCCAAGTTCCCACTGGCTTCAAGAAGAGCTAAGTGCCTTAATTTCCCTGCATATGTAGTCACTTGTAATTTGTTTTGGAAAAAAATCTTTTTTCTAAATACATCTTTATAGTGCCAGGTATTACCTGAACTTATGCATCCAAAGTAATTGAACATAAAATATTTCTGTGTGTAGATGAGTTAATACAGTTACTCTTTGGAAGGTGTCTGCATTTAGTAGATTACTGCTTGGGTATTTGTTTGGAATTTGCATTTTTGGAATGATCTGCAAAGACAGAGTCCAAACTGCTTCAGCCTTATTTCTTTATAAATATTGTTTATACTTAAATATTTAATGTCACTTCTCTGTGACTACTCTGTATTATTTTTGTTTGGTATTTATATACCCTTTCAACAGGGTCCCCAGCACCATACTGGCCTGGACTCCCAGAACTCCCAAATAACCTGTTGTCTAAAAAGACAAAAAACCAGCTCATATGACCCTAAAACAATCTCAGTAATGCTGTGGCTTTCATTATGATCTCTATGATTCTGCTCCTTCTGATTTAATTGTTATTGTTCTGTGTTTGGTCATTCTTTTTGTTTGCATGGATATTACTCATTTTGTGTTCCCTGCATCAGCCATAAATGAGGCTTTATGGATTTTTCCTGTTGGAATGAAAAATGGGGCTTGGAACCAGATGTCATTTTGATATAGTTATCTTAATTTGCAAAGTTGCTGTCCCCTGAACAGAGTGTCCTTGCTCACCGTTCCAAGTATCTCTGCTATTTAGCTGTCAGCATGGGTGCACTTGCCCACTCTTTCAAAGTCTCTGCTTTTAGTCCTTGCATCTCCCTTTCACATAAATTTCCCAAAGCACTCAAGAACAAATCTCCTTTCCCTGCAGTCGCTTTCTTGAAAGTGAGTGACGGATTCCTCTTGTGATACTGAGTGGCTAAAGTGCTTGCAGGGGATTTGCTTTCTGCTGTGAGCAGCTGTGCGTAACAGCAAGGAATTTACGGGCATTGCTTAAGCCCTTGGCTGGGACATGTAGTCCTTAAAAACTTAATCTGTGCTTGGAGGAGAGGCTCTGAGCTCAGTTCAGAGGAATCATTACAGAGGAGGGCTGGAACTGGGAATCCAAGGAGTTTCTACTGCTCCAAACCTTCATGGGCCCATCATAAGGAGGAGGCTTTTCCTACCATCCCCATGTTGAAGCAACACTGGAACATTAAGGCCAGCTTACTTCAGTGTCCCTCCCTCTCCTCTCTCTCCTGTGGCTGCTGGTGATGCAGCTGACTGTACTGGTCCTTTTAGCATTTTAGCAAGGATTTTCTCTGGCTTGTGTGATAGTGTCTAATCATTAAAATCAAACAGGTAAAACTCTAAGGGTTTGAACTTTGGGGAACACATAAATTTTTTGAGAAAAACTGCCTGCAATTGCCTAAAGCTTTGCAATTTTCAAAAATTATGATGTGTGGACTAAATATAAGTGTTTTTGTCTCCTACTTAGTTTTTTGCTTTACAGTGTGTAAAACTGTACATGACAGTGGTAACAGTAGTCAGGTTATAGATGCGTGTCTATACAGACTTCTGTTTACTGCGTGACAAATTTTGCACTGAACTATGAAAGAGCTGCAGTCCTGTCCATTTCCCATTACATTATATGATTTATGTCCAACAGTAACTTCCACCTTTTCCCTTGACCCACCCCATTTAGCCCACCTGTGTGGTGCATTAGCTCAGATATCGCTGTGTGTGTTGGTATGTTGTCCAGATAAGCTGACCTCATGCATTTCTGTTGGTTTTGTTCTTTGCCTTAGCTTGGCTTTGGATCTTTCCTAGGGATTGTTGGCATCTACCTGGTAGAAAACAGAAGACAAATAGTAAGTAACATTAATTTTAATGTTTGATTAAATTTTAATTTAATTTTTTTTTGTATCAGACTTTATTAAATATGAAAAGCAGAGATTTCCAGTTTACTTAAAACTGCTTCATCTGCCTCAAAATGTTAGTCATTTGTTTCACCACTTCTGAGAAGCTTTAGAGAAGCATGAGTGGGCCAGTAAGTTCCTTTGTACAAGGCAAAACAAAAGCAGCTTACTTTGTTTTACTGAATTTACTTTCCTGCTGGTTTAGTGAGTTGAATTGACCAAGGACAGAATCACTTAAGTGCCAGAGCTTGGCCAGGACCATGTAACTGGGAAAAGGAGGGAAGAGTGCAAAATAGAAGTTTGAGCAGCAACAAGCTACATGATCGGCTCCACCCTAGCAGATAATCTCATCCTGTGCAAGAAGTTTGTCAGGAACACTTTCCTGAAATGATATTTCTTAAATAGGAGAAAAAAACCCAGAGCTCTTGCTGTTAAGATTGCCTGGCTATGTCAGACAGGATCTGAGATACTGTGTGATTTGTATGTAGATTTACCTTGGCTTCCCAAATACTTTGATTTTATTTGTGTGAGGAAGTCATAGAAAGTCTTTGGGGCATCTGAGCAAAGGAAGGTGTAAGAAGGAGGAAGGAATTTGTTGAAATTCTTCACCATTTCCTTCCTCTCTTTGCAAAAAGTAACAATATTGGTTGAATAGCATGGTCCAATGGGCACCTCACAGTAGACTGATTATAGCCAAACATAATGAAATATGATTAATTTCATAATGCAGAGCTTTCTCTGGTATAAATCAAGAGTGGTGTTAAGCTCAGAGGAGGAACTGAAGGATTTAGCTTGCATTTTGCTAATAAGTAACTACTTTACTTACAAATAGTCATAATATCACTCCTTCATAGTATCACTCTTTTTTTGCATTACCTGTAAGTGTCAGTAGTGTATTTGCAAGAATTCCCTTGCTTTTAACTTCTGTTTCTAGCTGGGTTTCACAAAGAAATAAGATTTATAAAGCTGTGATATTTGTCTCTGTCTTTTTCTGTTCCCTATTCCCTTTTTTGAATATGTTGACCAATTTCAGGCAAATTCAGGAGGGAGGTAGAGACTTCAAAGGTGTGAAATTCCATCAAGTTTTATGAAAATTCACAGGTGGGTAGAGGAGAGAATTACGACTTAGTTCCCCCACAGTGGTAAAGGCTGCAATGTCAGCTCACCACTATTTAAAAGTGGAGAATCCAAATGGGACATACCTGTGACACAAAAATCTGCAGTAGCTCAGGTGTCACTGATTTTGCTACTAACAAAACAGGTTAATTAAGAACTATTGCTCCTGGTTTCTACATCAGAGACTAGGATGAACAGCGGGTTCCAAGTTGCAGACTCAATGCTGGGCAGATGAAAATAGCTTTATCTTCCATAGCATTCATACTACCTTAATAACAGGCATAACATTTTAGGGTTGTTTGATTTTTCACTTTTCTTCTAATCTGCCTCGTGGTTTTCTATACCTCTGTCCTTAGCAAAAGTAAAATATCTGAAAAGTCATAAGGTGGGTGAGCAGCAGTTAAAGAAAGTATTCCTTGACATGCTGTGCCATTTACATAAGGACTGAGGAGACAGAAGTGTCCAGTATGCTTGGGATTAGTGCCTGCTTACATTTCCCTTGTAACATGTAGCATGGAACAAGGAAAAGTGCTTTCTGCTTATAGCATTTACAGATGATTTGGCTGTTGGAAGATTTGGTTTCTGGAGAACAGAGTAAGAGAATAACTAGAAAGTTTAATTATGCGTCTTGCCTTGAGAACCATCCACAGAGGGTCTTTTAACACTGTCTTTGCTGAGGCTGAGCTGATGGTTTTAAAAGTTGTGGAAATGAGATGGAAAGGGTTTACAGTGGAAGGCAGTAGTTATTCCCTGGGACATAACTGAGTATATTTAATTAGAAGGGTTTAGGCCAGCTTTAACAAATTTACAACTATCAGTAAGATTGTAAAGATCGGAATTAAGCACAGAAATGTAGAATAAATGTTATATTCCTGTACCTAAAAACTACATACATTGCAGCAGGAAAAAAGGGAGTAGAAAGGAAAAGAAATTGCTTACTCAATTAATTCTATTTTAACTAGACTACGTCTGAGCAGTTTCTGCAGTATAATTTGAGTTTAACCCAGTGTAGCTCTGGCAGTTATCTGGCAGCTGTAATGACTCAATACCTCATTTTTTATTTGTTATTTAAATTGAAAATGAACTCAAAGTCAATTGCACTAGGGAAAAAAGTCTATTTCAAATTGAACATTCTACTTAAATCTATTTCTCTTGTTGTCTTGAAGCTCTATTTCACTGTGACCCATCCATTTTAAGTCCAGATTCTTTCATGGTTGATGAAATGCTAAATGCAACATAAAATATATAATGATTAGCAGAACCAGTGCAGCAAAACCCCAGACCTCAGTAATTGATGAGCGTGGAGTTTGAGAAAGAACAAAAGCACAGTTAGGCAGAGTGGACAATGGTTTGTTCTTAAAACATGGCATTAATAATGTTGCACTTCTTTGACCTCCTTGTTGGCATCCCAGAGCCCACAGTGGGAGTTCAATGTGCTGACCAAGGTATAAGCCTTAATTCAAAGGAACTGCTGCTTGAAGAAGCAGGCTCTGCCTCATTGACTAGCATGATTTCACTTCAGCTGTTAGCATTTGTGCTTGGCTCTGTTATGCAAAGCTTGGCACCAGCAGAACAAAATTTCCTTTTGACTAAAGATTTGCACTGATTTGGGATGTTTCTAACTGGCAAACAGAATGCATTTCAAGCATAATGTGTCGCTGTCTCTTTTTGTCTCTCTTGCACTCTGCGGGGCAGGTTATGGATTGAAAGGTAGTGTATAGCTGGATGTTGTTTCATTCCAAAGGCACACTTAGTCCAGCTGGGTGGGTGAAAAACATGATACTGCTCAAATCAAAAGAATTTGATTGTAAGACATAAAGTGTTCTTGCTTGTTTGCTTGGTTGTCATCTCCTTACAGTACAGTACAAAGTATTTCCAGTTAGGAAGTGAGATGCTGAAATTACATACAGGAGTGGGGAAGGCTGGGTGTGCAGGGGGCTCCTGGCAGCTGAGCTGCGCTGAGAGCAGTGAGTAGTGCTGAGGGAGCGCTGTAAGAGGTTTCTCTCAGAAAATATGTGGAGGTGGCACGAGCTTGCAGCCAGAAATGAATCACTCCCTAAATGTGCAACGTCGATGTGACACCATGCGTGCAGTTTTAGCTAAGCCAATGCATAAACCGAGCAATGGCTCACAGCTTCCACTCACACGTCCCTCCAGTGCCAGCCTCACCCAGCCCTGCTGTTTGCAAGGCTGAAAATGAGCAAACTGAAGCTGTGCTGCCTACAAGAGCCATGGGGAGGTTCAAGGGCAGCATCATAGCTGCCAGGGTTTGAATGTTTGCCTGCAAGAGCCCTCACTGGGGCTGGGGGAGCTACAACAGCAGCACAGCTGTGGCAGAGAGCAGCCAGGAAGGGCATGGGAGGAGGTACAGGAGAAAAAATGACACAGGGAGGATGGGGAGGGGTCGTTGGAGCAGGAGTGACCCCTCATGGGATGGTGAGTAAGCACAAACCTTGGTAATTAGGATGGAAGCAGCTGTGTGCAGCAGGTCTGACACCTGAAGTCATCCACTGCTGAGTCTTCCTCATGTATTCTTCATGCTAAAACATTTAGTTTTCTCACTGACATGTCCAGGATATACTCAGATGTAAACCTAGTGCTCAGCCTGGTCCTTGACTTATTCAGAGAGATGGAGGCAAAGCTTCCAACAGAGCCAAATTTGAAAACATGAGGAAGGTACAGGCATGGAGCTCTGCACACAGACAGAAAAGGCAAAGCTATTTATTCAGGCTTCTCAAGGGATGCTAAGTTTAGCATCCCTTAATATGCTTGCTTCCCAACCTCTGTCAACAAGAGTTAGATTACAAATGAAGTGTCAAAAAGACAATATAGCTGAAGTTGGAGAAACAAAGCAGTAATTTTCTCTTTGTTTTCAGTTGATAGACTTCCCTTACAGTGCAAGCATCCCTGTCCTGCATTGACATTGTGTGAGGTAGGATTTTAATATCATCTCTGATTATTTTCTTAACATTGGACTTTACATCTGTTTCAGAATAGAGGATTTTTTGAAGCAGGTACACGTGTGAGCCAGCTTTCAGAAGGGGCAAACATCTTTCACTTTTTTCAAAACCAATTTATCTTGTAAATTATGCCCATCAGGAAATGCCCACCGGGCATTTTATATAAAGGTGATGGTTATTAATATATACACCCCCTCAAAAATACTGCTAGATATACACCTAATTAGCTCTGTTCAAACATGTTCTGTTTCATTTGCTGTTTGCAAATCAAACATTCTGAAGAAATTAGCTTTAGTGCAGATTTTGATCAAAGATACTAATTACTGATTGATTTCATATCACATATTAGGCTAATTAAAGCAGCTTGTTTTGATAAAGAAAGACCACTGAAATTCTGCAGATCCCCTGAGACTATCTTTGATGTTTCTGTGCAAATAAATGCAAGCAACCTTTACTGTTGCAGGGGAAATGCAGAAAATGTAAAGGTAATCTTTGTAATTACCAAGGTATTATTTCTCTCCTAAACTCAAGTTTCTGACAAAGTTAACAGCACTTTTTTCTTTCAGTGTTGATTTGTATGCTCATATTTCACTCAGTTCAGAGAAAAACAATTAACGCTGAGGTAAAAACTTTAAGAATGGAAGAAATTAGTAATCATCCTTCTCTTGTTTAGCAGCTTTAAAATCATTGAAATGGAAAAGACCTGCTAATACCTCTTCAGGCATAAATGTGTGCTAGGTTTTGTGGTGTGATCTAACTGCACAATTCAGAAACAGACAAGATTTATATAAAGATAATCAGAATAGATTGCCACTGACACTTGAATGAACTCAAGTGGCTCCTCTTTATGAATCTGCATTTTTTCAAAATATAACAGCATCTTATTAGCTGTTAAGTTCAAGCAGCTTATTCTTTGAGAACGTCTTCCTGCTCTCATGGCTAGTTCTTCAAGACTGTAATGAGGTGCTCTTCAGAGGCATCTTGTTCTCTCTCCTTAGGTTCTGGAAGAGACCTTGAAGGGTGGTTTACACTAGATTCTGGAGTTGTAGTTAGCTAAAGTGTGGTAAGAAAAATCCTGTGTTAGGTGACAATTATATTTCTCTTCTATAATACTGAGGATATTACAGAAGATAACATACTATAATTCTGTCTAATTTCGAGTTGAGAGCAGAGCAGCCTATGTATAGATGGCCCATAAGCCTGGTGTAGTCTTGGGTATTAGCTGCCTTATTTTGCGGGAATCAGCTTTGAGACCCCTTTTAACCCTTTTTGGAAGGGATTTGGAATGTGGTTTATCCATGGAAGGTCTGGGAAATCTGTGTTATTCCCTCTAATGCAGGAAAATATTCCACAAAAACAGGAGTAGAAGTGAGATGAATATCTGGAAATGTTTTAAAGGCTAAGTTATTTCAGCTGCAGAGGAGGAGGATAGGTGATATATCGGTGGGTATGAAAGCATCTTCCAAAATGAAGACAAGTAAAATTAAAAGAAGAAAGTTCCATGGGCAAGTAAAATGTAAAGAAGTGGCAAAGTTTTTTTCTAGTAGTATAATATTATGAGAGACATTTTTCTATTGTTAGTGTTAAATAGTCCATGAATAAAGACTAAGTAAAATACTTTGGATTTCTTTATGCAGCTCTTTGACCTTGTGCATTTAATGGGAGGGTTTCCAATTTATAGTAAATGTAAATACCCACTGACACAAAGAGCTCTTTTCTCTTCCCTCCTTTGCTCCTTCCTCTGTCTTGCTGACTCCTTCTGCTGCTCTTCCCTGCCCTAGATAAAAATACTCTCCACTGGTTAAGTGAGTAAAAAGGTTCACAGCCAAGTGAGCATCAGACATAGCACAGTTAACTGGTGGGGCTGCGTGGGTAAGGGCAGAGAGGAATCTGTGGAAGGAGGGAACAAGGCTTGTCCCTTTTGCCAGGAGTAATCTGTTATATCAGCTCACTGTGGCGTGAAACCGTCATCTAAGTGTTGTCAGCGAGTTAAATGCCTCAAGATAGATAGCATAAATTTCCCAACAGTGCTGGAGAATTTTGAAGTTCAAGGACTCAAAAATAGATGCTTTCACTGTGTGAATTACCAAAGGAAGTGTGGGAGGTGTTTCAGCTCTTCCCTGATCTAGTTCCTTATGGACTGGCATTTCATATTACATGCCTATAGGTGTATGCTTTCAGATTTTACCAGCACAGATTTATCAGCTAGACATGCAAATATTTATTTATATGTACATATTTTAATATAGAAATCTACCATGAAATAATAACCATGTAATACGTAACCTGTAATATATGCTCACACATGTACATGTATGTATTTACAGCTGACATGTCCTGGCAAATACCTGTAATAATGACAAAGAAGTCTGTGCCACTGTGCCACTGACATTATGTCTTTATTGTGCAAAATGTTTTTACACTCTTCATAGATGTGTCTGCCAAGTTGTTTCAGCTGGCAAAGCTGTAATGGGTAGCACAGTCAGGTCTGTAGCAATCTTTGTGCTCCATCATCAGGGCTGTGTCTGTCTGACACAGCTGCAGAGATGTCACCAAGTACCTCCACCTGCAGCCCAGCACTGTAGTTCTTCCCTCCCACGCAGCTCTGTGCTGGTCCACTGGTTGTACCAGGCTCAGGTCTTATCCACCTCAGGTTTCTCACCTCATTGGAAGACAGAAATGGAATATTGGTTACAAAGGGGAGAAAGTTTGAATGAGATTCTTTGATTTCTATTTGGAGAGATTCCTTGGCAACCAGAATTACTTTAGTTTGCTTCTGGAAGCTTAAATTCAATAGAAACAGAAAGAAGATGCATATGAATGAAAATACATCTTTCCACCACCAGAGCTTATTTCCAATACTGAAGTCTTTAAAGGCTTGGATCACCATGCTTTTGAGTCAGAGACTGAAGCCACAAAGTCAGTTTAAGTTCTCTGTCTTATTAAATGGCAGTCTTTTGGGATGTGGTTCCTTTCAGATCTTGCTTGGGAACAGCACATGGGAATAGGTGCATAATAGGGCACTTTTTAACTGCCAGTTTGTTTTCTTGTGCTCTTTATGTAATTAAAGTGTTTCTGTCACACAGATGAAAACAAAAGTAAACCTTATGACCCATGAAACGTGTTTGTGGAACAATAAAGATGTCAATTACTCTTCCTAGCAAGCAGGAGCACAGGATAGAAAGTCTCAGTAAGGAATCTAGTTTTTGGTGTGTGCATGGTGAAGAGGGTGAGGTGGGATGTGCCCTGTGAAAAGGACAGGCAATTTCTGGACCTCTTGTTGAAGAATTAGCTCAAATCAAATAGCTGAACATCCCTGATGGACAGATACAATCTTCCAGACCCTACAGGTAGAATTTCACTACAAAAAACCTTGTAATTTATGCATTTCTGTGGAGAGAGTTTGTCTGTGTCTTGAGAAACCAATGAAGTCACTGTATAGGGAAAGAGGATTTGTGAAAACAGGGGCTTTGATGTAAAAACAGTTCTTGCTGCTCAAACAGCTCTGACAGTCTTGATCTATGTAAATTCCACCATTTTTTACCAGGAAGCATAAACTTTTATGACACATAGTATGCTATGTATTTTAGGTTTATCATTCTCATACCACTCAGAACAGCTGTTTAATAGATGAAATGACCTTGTTCCAGCTTAAGCAATAAAAGAGCATTCATAAAAAGAAATATGTGATTAATTCCTATAATGTCAGCACTGTTGAACAGTGAACCTAAATTTGCTTCACTTTTGTTCCCTTTCCTGTAATGCTGTGTTTAGCTTTTTTCTTTTAGAGTGAATTTGATGTCTTTAAATGTATAATAATTTTTAACTGTTCTTATCCAAGTGATTTTATTGATGTTTGCAAAGAGGAATTCTTACCAGTTTGAAATGCCTACTGGACTAAAACTTGATTAAGCTGGCTCCAAAGTCGTTAGCATTTCTCCAGCTGTGAATCCAGATGAATTTTTTTCTCTTTTCTGTGTAAGGGTGGCCAGAGAGTGATACTGTCTGGAAAAGCACACTAGACTGAGCTGCCCTGAGAAGCCCCAGTGCTGCCCTACATAACAATAGGAGTCTGAAACAGAGGAAAGGGGGCTGATCGCACACTCAGCACCTAATTTAATGGGATGGAAGAAAAGTAGAGCAGCTATTTTTAAAAAAATCTCTCTAAAAGGAGTGAAAACACAGGTGGAGCAGAGCATATGCACTGCACCTCCTTGAAGTAGAGAAGTTCAGCCAGTAGGGGGGTTGGATCAATTCAGACTTGGGTCAAAATGCAGCAGTGCTGTCTGAATGAGCTGAGTAAAGCTGAGATGTGCTGCTGCTAGAAGGAAATCAGGAACTGCAGTAATGGTTACTGGGATGATCTGGGGCTCTTAGATGTTGTGGAGGCTTAAAAGAGCACTGATAATAAAGCTAACCCTGCACCAGGAAAAAAAAAATCCTTTTTTGGTTTCCTTCTGTTTCTTGTCTTAGAAAATGTAAAGCAAGTACAGTTCTGTTCCATTTTTTGAAAATTGCTTTAATAATCTGTTGGACTCCAGTGAAGTCTCAGATTCTACCAAAATCCCAGGAGACTTGATAGTGCATCATCAGTGGTGGCATTTTTAACTGAATCAAGACAAGCATTTTACTCATCAGTGAATGAATTATCTTGAATTTAATATGTGTTCATTTGCACATAAATCATATTCATTCTCTGATTGCAATGTAACGGTGACTCCAGTTTCAAATTCTTAAGTGCACAGAAACTGCTTGATATAGGTTTCTGTTCTGTAGATTGGTCATTCTAGTAAAGATTTGCTTTGCTAAAACAATTTGAAATAATTTCCTAGCTATTCTAAGTCTGGTTTTGTAGCTGATATTAGATTATGAGAGAAGAAAGAAAGTATTAATCAGGTAACCTTTCCCAGTAATTTTGTTTCATGTTTTTTTAATGGCTATTGATTTAATTCCTACCAATATAGGAAAATTT